AGGCTAATTAAACATATTTTTCAAATGTATTCTTCATTTCTTCATGAATACGTTCTTGAATTTGTTGTGCAAATTGTATTTTGAAATAATCCGTATACTATACTCCGATATTATATGGTAATTGGTACTTTTTTTAAATGGTGTATTAATATAAATACAAACACTTGATAATAATACTGAAAAATACTTTACAAATATTTGGGTATTTTTTTTAAAAACATTTAAATATGGAATACTTATTTAATTTAAATAGATTCGAGAATTTCAGATGTTGCGCATTAGCGCATCATTTGATTATAAATATGACATGTGAACTAGATACGATTGTTGTTGATGTTCAACATGGTTTTAAACCATTCAAGTCCACTTATATTACTAATTTCCTAACGCTATAACATTCAATAATATTTTTATGCTTTTTCACCGAGTTCATGCGTAAATGTGGTTTATACTGATTTCTCTAAGGTTTTTACCTTGACAAATTGATGTTATTAAAGATCTTGGTTTACTGTTTGATCCAAAACTAACATTTTAAGCACACATTCACACACACGGGTTTTTTGAAATAATTAGGAAAAACTCGAAAGAAAATTTTAAGTAAAATGGCGAATATTTAACGGAGCGCCGTGGTGTCACTGCGCATTTAAATTATTTTTGTTATGTTTACACGATGTTTTCTATAAGAAATATTGCTCCAATTCAAAAATGATAAGAGAGCAATAATTTTGTTCCTTTTAATACGTGCGCAGACAGAGAAATTAATAATTATACGTCTAAAGAATTTGTCATAAGAATTGGGATTAACCAAAAACAAACGAAATATACGAATTTTTTTTCAAATTATGACAACGAATTTGTACAGTTTATGTTTTTAACCATAAGTATTGCTCCAATAGATAAACAATAAGAGACCTTTTTTGTTGCATTTTTAATCTTGTTCACGAGTAAGTTATTTGGTTTTAGATTTACTTTGTAGTTTTTTTTTTAATAATTAGGAAAAACCAGAAAATACGTAGTAAGAACGGGAAAATTTCACCTTCCCCACTACAACCCACATACAACAGTGGCCGCGTCCATCCCTAGTATCAGCTCTTTGTTTTTTAAATCTAAAATGTCCCATACAATTTTGACAGATGACGTGACCGTAGGAACGTTTTCATCTTCATATTTCCGGGATACATAGGGGTGACAGGATGACGTGTAAACGGGATCCCTTTTCAACTACAATTATGTTCACTGAGACGTTAAAACGTTTGAGCTCTAGCGATTTGCATATTATTATTATTATTATTATCATATGGATGACGTATTGATACTATATATACATATATTTACGATTATCAATATTGATATTGTACCCGAAGGTAAAGTGGATACATAATATTGTGTTTGTGTGTCATCCGCACGGTCGACCACGCATAAAAACAATAGTAAAAGCTGGTAGGCCTTTGAAAATCTCCGCGAGGTATACCTACGTACTATAAATACGCAATCGAAATAATGTTATTATATATAATACAAGTACCTGGACCGAAGTAGACTAGCTCGAATGATGATGTTATAATTGTAATTGTATTGTTTGTAACCGCTTATTATAAGTTTCAAATCACCTCCGAAACGTATAAATACGAAACTACAACGTTCTTATTACATAGAAACTCCTATAATTATTATAAATGAATAACAATTTAATTATTGTCCACAATAAATCTTATTGCGGTTTATAGAATTTGTTCCAAACAAATCTACTATAATTTGCGTGCACGGTCAATAATGATTCCGTCAAATTACCTATTAATTTTAATAATTTAGGCATCTATACACGTTGATTTGAAGAGAAATTCATTCCTGTTATTTATTTTTTTTCAATGATCACGGATTCTTATAAGTCTAAAACTCTTTTAAATTTGCTATCCATATACCTCCTACTCTCTCTAATACTTTACAAACGCATTCGATAGACGCTTTTTTCAATCGAGTTGGTATCTTTTCTTTTAAACGCAGATTTGAATAAAGAATATTTGTATATTCTTGGATTTACCATTTATGAGTTATAGACGATAAATCCGATATTAGTGCTTTGCATGTCAATATTTTAAAAAAAATAAAATATTTCCTTTTAGTGAATTCATATTTAAAAGAGGAGGGAGTTTTATTTGAAAAATAAACGTGTATACCTAGTCATTTTTAAGGTATCAGTTGCAGGGGTAAAAAGAAATAAATAAATCAAATTTCTTGAAATCCTCCGAGCAAATTATTGGTACGTGAGAAAAAAAATAACCGTCATATATAGGTTTTTAGATTCTGAGTGGAGCGAAAAACATATTTTACAAAGATGTCTTTTTTTTTTTTTATCTGTGCGCAACTTTTTTACCAGAAGACTTGTTCAGATTTCTACGTGTAGCACCTTTTCTGAAAGGAAATCGACGTAGGGAAGTACCATTGGAATAATATTTTTTGATTTTTTTTTGTTTTCTCGTAAAATGCGAAAAATCGAAATAACGGGAAAATTTACGAAGTAAAATAAATATAATTTACGATTTTTTTTTGTGAACAATTTTTCTACCAGCGATTTCGTTCCAACTTTTAATTTTAGCAATATCTCTAAAAGGACATTTCACTAACCCTCGAGGTACTTTAAAGATGTCATTTTTATTATGTTTTTATATGATGTTATATTATCAAAGAAAGTATATATTGATGACAGAGCATCACTATCCACTGAAATCTGCTCAGAATCGTTTTTTCGTAAGCAAAGGTTTTTTTTGCTTACAGGTATACATTAAGTTATCAATAACAATGGCTGCAACTGTCCCTAGTATCCTACGACGTCTTTTTTAATGTTTGCCTTATTGGATACACGTTACATTATTAGCATTATTTGGTATATTTAGAGGAAATCTTTCGATGTCTCTTGTATAATATATACCGTATATGAAGAAATTTGTTTTTTAGTATCAGTAAAAAGATAGTACTATAATAATAATATACAGTTAAATTTAGCCTAATCCATGCATATCGTTTATAATATTATGAAAGCTTCATATCTTAATATAAGTTATGACTTTTCATTACGTTTAAACTATTTTAATTGTAAATTTATAAATTATCCTTGTGTGTATGTGTGTGTACCACTGGAAAGAGTTAATTCCATTATTTTGGTATACATTTTAACATCAGACTAAAATTCATTGATCATAATTATTATATGAATAATTTTACTAGACAATTATTTTAAAAATTCTGTTTGGTCAAAAAAATAAATTCAAAGAATATTAGTACTATTTATGTAGCTTTTGCAGAATCCGTTTTTCCTTATGGTATCACGGTGTGGGATTATATATAGTCCTCCCACATCGAAGTTTGTCTAAAACTGCTAATTGCTTAATTATAATTATTCTTTATAAACCTAGATTATATTCTTCTTAGCTTAATTTATTCTGAGTTTAAGGTTCGTACTTTAATTCAAACATTTGAACGACGGTTTCTATTATACATATATATGTTAATTTTAGGAAATTTCACCTTACATATTCTTATAATATAACAATTAAAAATAATTGTAATGTAATTATCCCGTTTAATCACTCTAATTTTGGAACAGATAGTCCAATAATTAAAGAAATCTCTTTGCTTCGTAAATATAAGGTTAATCTAAATAATTTTGTTAAATTTAACCACTATAAGAATTATAGTAGTAGCAATAATTTCACTTCTTTTAAATTAATAATTATTTTATATTTAATATTATATTCTTCTTTTAATTTTTTTTTTTTAAGAACTCATTTATTATGAACCCAGCTCATCCGTTATAAGCATTTCTATGCTTATTGGTTGAGCTTGCAATTTTTCTGTGTTTATGATATGTCTTTGGGCATGTATTGTTTTTTCTAAAGAAATATTATAATTATTTTTTAATTATATTACTATGCAATAAATGTAATTAAATATAATAGAGATTATCTAGATTTAAGAATACAATTTCCAATGTAAATTGGACTTGTATTAAATAAATACATAAATAATTAAATAAATTATTATTATCATAATACGAAAAAAAAGCATTCTTAAATTCGATTGGATTTATTGATACAATACTTCTTAGTGTACAGAGCTAGTTATCAACCCTACCAGGGTAATACTATTTAAAAAATTTTTACCAGGTCACACATAATACTTTCATGTTCCTAGGTGATCGGTTTAGGTAAATAATGATCCATTAAAGTTTTTTTACTATCCGACCGCGTTCTTTTGTGATTAATAGGCCTGTGGAAATATCACATCTAAAAATCCAGGAAATACGTTTAAATCAATTTAGAATCCCTAAAAAGATTTTAAAAAAATCCAAAATCTCGTGTATAAGATACAAATATTTCAATATATTGCTTCTACAGATGATTTGAATTATTATTATTTTGCGCATAAAAAAACTATTCAAATAATTTTGTTTGGTTTAATTTTTTTTCCTGTTCACAAAATAATTAAATGTATTTTTTTTTTTAATGAATATTGTATATGTTATTTTTTTAACAATAATAATCAAATATGCCAAATTTCACGATTGTTATAAATATTTGTTATAAAAATATCTAGTTTTTTTCAAAGAATTGAATTTGAATCGATTTATATCGAGTCGATACGTTTTCGTATTTTGAACTTTTCATTAAAATTTCATTCTCGTGGCTACACCTGCAACTCCTTAAAATATTGCTGAGAGTTCGAATACACGATGTCTTAAAATATTATTTTGCTGTAATAGAAATCAATAGAAATATTATACTCAGTCAAACATAATTATTGTTTTGTTCACTAACCTACTATCTAACTCTAACTAAAACACTACTTATTAATGGAGTCGGAATACACTTATTTTGAATACGTTATAGACATATGCCCCATGGGTATGCATGTATGCAAAAATTTAAAAATGGTGTAAGTTATTTATAAAGTGGATTTTGATGTATCGTTTTGAAAACCTCTAACATTTAATGAAAATTCCGTGAAATAATATCTCATTTTATATATATTTATTTTGTGGTATATTTTCACCGCTTATTGATCTAAAACGTCATATTCGTTCAAAAAATAAACACATTCATTATCCTTAAATACAGGGTTTCGATTACAAGATTACCTTGTCACAAAGTTCCATTGTTATAAGGAGTCATTAGAAGGTAAAAATAAACTTTAAATTAAACAAAATTTGGAAAACGAATTCCAATAATTTTAATATTCTTTAAAAACTTTTCACCGTATTTTGTTGGTTTTGAAAATATAGCGCTGCGCACACATAATAATATAATATAATTTTTCATGCTTATTTTCGTTTTAAATAAAGTTGAAGTTTTTAAATATTTAAATAACTACAATACACTTATCAACCACCTCTGTACGATCCAATCCATTTTAATGAACATAAAAACATAGAAAATAATAATTTATATTAGGTATGGTCGTAGACTATAGTGTATAATGCCCGATCAATTGTTTGAACCCTTACCGCCAAATTTTATCACTAGCGTACGTGGCATTATACTATACAGTCTACACTAAAGTTACTTTAATATAATTGTAATGCTAACCATCAAATATCATATCAAACGGATGTACCACAGGGATCTGACAAACACAATGATGTTTGTTTAGCTGTTTAACATGATATTCTGAGCGTAGCGAGAAATGTATTGGATTTACTATGTTGTGATTTTATTTTAAGTGGCAGCAGATCGTGAGTTTTATAAGTTGTGTGACAAATATTTTGAAAACTACAAGGGGGCGGATTTGTAAATATATGAGAGAACAATTTATACTATCTGTTACAAATAAAGAAAATTAGATACTTTTATAAGTATTTGTACATTTGAATGATAATCATACAAATTAAGGCATTTCAAATTACGTTTAACTGAACATCGTTGTTCGTTAACAATAATTTATGTTTGCTTCAAATATAAATGAAATCCCCTTTTAAATCCTATCTATTCGACTTCATCTTACAACAATCAGACGTCCGTCTTTCAACAACATTATTTTTTGTTTGTTTTGTATTACAACATATTAAATCGCTCGCTTATAATTTACACCCATAATGCGTACTGCGCAGTTTGAAACCATAACCCCGGTATATCGATTATCTAAAACATGTATAATAAATAAATCTTGACTGCGCTAAAGTCTGAGCTTATAATTTATCAAACAGTCACGTATACGTACTATACCGAAATTTTACTTGTTTATCACTATTTATAAGATTTATTGCCCTGTTTTACCGAACTTTGACAGTATAAAGGTGGTATACCTGTGCATGTTTATTTACAGAAATTTTTTTGTAAATTATATCAACAACTTTATATCGTCTTATGACAAAAAAAATTAATTATTTTAATAACTACAAAACAAATAAATAACATTTTGGTAAAGTCAAATTATAATTCCTAATATGCAGTCACACATTTCTGTCAGTAAGATTTACAAAATAATTTTTAAAAAAATTACTAGAGATCAGCAGAGCTGCGTTATCACAGTCGAATTCCTCCTCCATATTAGTATACAGTGCGTTAACGCGGTACCACTGAATACCTTGTATTGAAATGGAGTTCAGAATTTTTAAATCTTTTTGAATCATGTTTGAAATATCAAGATGGGAATTTTGAACAATTTATAAGATAAAACAATATTTGCAAATAAATAAATCCTAATTTAAAATTCGTAGTGTGTACAGTTTTACAGTTTTCATTACCATTAATTATTTAGCTCATTTATTTCGAAAGTATGAATGACAAAAATGAGAGTAAATTGTGAAAACAAATAAGTGTTTATTTGTGTCATATCTGTCTACAAACAGGTATTTTATAATATCGGAGTTGTTTCGATTTCCGAGTACAAATTGAACATACATACAACATAACCGAATACTGGAATAATATTCAATAGTACAAAATTATTCTATTTTCACAATAATGGTAAACTCTGAACATACAAATTGTATATACAAGGATTGAAAGTTTAAATTCCCAAAAGCAACGTCTTTGATACTAACACGCCATGCATATACTAAGTGTTGTCTTTCTGGTTTCATTTAGGGAACGGGTTCCATACATTGGTTTTTGAAAATAGAAAAACACTCTTTTCCGATAACGGCATGTTGAAATTCGTATTCAAATTAAACACATACGCTGATTACATAAGCCCGTCTATAAAGCAACTCTAAATTCCGAATTTAAGTAAATTAGATTCGGAAAAAAACCGTTTCGATACAGTACGTGAGTCTAATTTACACTATATATTTTCAAGGAAAATGGGAAAAACAAAAAGGAAACTCATTGCTTTCTCTACATAGGTTATTATATTTCATTCGTAATGACGCGGGGTAAGTATTTGTTTATTGGCGAAAATATCGAATTTCAAAAGAATGTCTATGAGAAATGTTTGAAAAATAATAATTATGAATAATATTTTATACTGCGAGGATAACGCCGAAATGTTAAGTGGGCGATTAAAAATAATTACAAGACGCAACCCGGTAGCGTTTTCGTAAGGCATCCCGGGCCTTAAATATAAAAGTCGAGAAGATCGTTAAAATGAATAATTTAAGAATTAAATTAGATGTTTAAAAAATACAGTTACAGGATTTAAAAAAAAAAAATAATAAAAAGGAGAGAAAAATAAATCAAATGATTTTTTCCAAGTAAATAAATTACGTTAAATAAAATATTTAAAGAGGGGGGAATTACAAATAAAAGTTTATAGACTTTAGCAGAATAAAGATTATTAAATCATTTTTTATAATATCAACACTTCTATGAAGTGTTAATTTGTTTTTTTTTTTTTTTTTAATGGCTGTTTTTATATTTCTTAAGTAATAATATTTCAAGAGAACACTGCACCTAAATGCGCCGTTTCAGACTTATATTCATACGGCATAGTAAATTTAAGTTCAGCATTGACAACGCTGTGTTGTTAATTTTATTAAGAGAATTGACCTATAATCAAACTTAAAAGTGTTGTACATTTTCTGTGCAATTATGTAGGTTTATTTCGACACTTTAATTGTAATATTTTACATTTTCAGATAGTTCTATAGGTAGTCGTTATCTAAAAAGGAGCGTTGCACAGGTGGCTTTGTATTGGTAACTATTGGATAAAATAGTTAAACGTTAAACGTTTCAGTTTCTGATCATGGGGTCCTTTTATTACAGTGCTAGCTTGTTAATGTATTATTGTTTAAATCTGTTAACAAGTTTTTGACCAGAATATTGGCTTTGATCAAAAATCTTTGTTAAGTTTTTCGTTTGTATTTTGATTTTTGCAAATGAAAATGTTTTATGATGATTAGATTAAAAACTCGAAGATGTTATATAATCACGAATTGCTCTGATCAGTCAAAGTGACGAAGTTACGGCGTGGGTTTTTTTTTCTTTTTTACAAGTATTTTAATTCAGGATTGCGATAAACTTCGTTAAAATACTGAAAATTGTACTTTATAAAATTAAAAAAAAAAAAAAATTACTCTAGAAATTCAAATTAATTATGCACAATATATTCTGAAAGTTTTCCACGAAGTAATTTTATTTCTACATAAACTTAAAAAATAAAACTCCCACAGCTATGTTCTGTCAATAGAGACAAACCACTATAACTACAACTATTGACTATTTATACAATACTTATTGTGTAATGTGTATGTAAGTATAATAAACGATTTAAGATATCTTTCTTATATCATAACACGACCGTATACCTACGTTTACGGGAAATACTAAATATCTAAAGATATACATTTTTAAATTTTTTTTTAAAAAATTTTTAAAAAAATCACATAATAAAATTATAATAAGCAATTATTAAAAAACTGGTTTTTACTTTAATAACGGACATTTAAGTATATATCATGTGTTACACTCGTATATTGCATTAAATTAATTTTTAGAATCACCAAACAGTCTCCTTTAACATGTTCGGGAATAAGTAGTAGAGAAAAAAGAAAATTATTTCGAGGTTGCACAAAATATCCATTAAATTTGATTTTAAGATTCTGAATGGAAATTATGGATTTAAAAAGATATTTATTTATTTTTTTTTTTGTGGGTAACTTTTATACTAGAAACCTTAATCTGATTTTCAAGTGTAGAAACTTTTCTAAAAGGAATTTGGATTGGGAAGGTACTTTAAAAAGGTTATTTTTGATTTTCTCATGAATTTTCTCATCAAATGATGTAAACCAGGGAAAAACGGGTTAATCGGTACATTAAATAAATATTATTATAGAAAATAAGTATGTTTATTTACTTATTTCGCCATAATATGACATATATATTTTGACAAAGCAACTTTATCAACCGAACTGCAACTTGCTCATTAGCAAATTTAATCGTTGTGTACAGATATACTTTAAATTTTCGTCTACTACCTTCCCAATTTCTCACCTACAACAGTGGCCCACCCGAAGTATGTCTGTCTTTTACACTTTTGTAAATTAATTTATTGTTTTAATTTAAACACAAATTATTATTATGTACTTATATTATTATACTTTTAAAATTTATTTTTTGATGGGAGATTGAACTTGAACCATTTCTTCTGCGTTCACTATGGGCATAAAATATCATTTATTCAAATAATTTATGACTTCAAGTAAATAAAAATAAAAAAAAGCTGATACTGGAGATAAGAGCGGTCACTGTTGTAGGTAAGAATTTGGAAAGGTATAATACGAGTACATAAGCTTGTTTCGTTTATATCTATAAGCAACGATAAATCATTGACGAAAGACGATTGCGAGCGCAGTTCGGTAATACATAATTTGAAGGTATTTTTATTTTTTTTTGTGATTTTCGTTGAAATTTGATTTCAAAACGCTTAATAAAAAAAAAAAAGTCTTCTGATCATTTTGGAAAATTTACCACGTCTAGGTAAATTCGATATAAGTATTATTACCAAATTTCAAGTCTCTACGTGTATTAATAATCGAGTTACAGCAAAAAAACTCTCAAAAATTAAAATTCCTTAAAAGTTCAAAAGTGGCTCAAAAGTTTTGGCAATAATTCCGAATACCTTTTTGGTTTACTACCAAAAAGGCATAAAAAAAGGTGTCTTTTGATTTTTCGATTAAATTTTTTTTTCTGATTGAAAACGTCGTCCGCAATTTTATAAAATAATGAAATCGTGAAATTGTACGTTTATCTACATTTTTTCCCACTTAAGTGCTTTTATTTCAAAAATGACGTCGAAAATCAAAAAATGACCTCTTTAAAATATCATCTAATAAGTTGGTATACATGAAAGTCGGAGCAGTTTACTAAGAAAAATGTGTCCACAGACTGGAACAAAAAAAAAGAAGAAGAAGAAGAAATTATCATAGTATAACCAAAAACTATATGAACAATCGTAAAATCTTTAATTTATATTAAATAATATATAACCTTCTCAATAAATTCCCGGTATTGGGAATATTCTGAAGACTTATCTTAAATTAATTTATTAAAATCTCTAATTGTTTTACACACCAAATTATGTGGATAGATGGAGTTCAAGACGGGAAGCCTTAACGAGGTAATAGTGTCAATGCTATCTATACGTAAAACTAATGATTTACGTTGGAAATTTTTGTTTCCATCATTAATATAATATAATATAATATAATCTTCTAATTTCATGATATACCTGTTTACCTATATGCATAGATTTATATCATGATGAATAATTCGATTGAAAAACCTATCAAAACCGGTAACGTTTACATAAAAAAAAAAAACACCGTAACTCATTTTGCCGTAACTAGATGGTGCCAGTAATATGATATCGTAATATTATATAACGTTTTGGTATATAATGAGATGGACAATATTTTAATAATTTAGATGGAGAACTTCACCACCAGATCATGTTAAATAATGTATAAATCTGAAGTCATAATATTATATTGAGTAACTTTATGGTTTAATAATAGATAAATGTTATACTCTTATATTGTTTAAATAAATAGAAACTGATATTATCCGGGCTGTAAATAAATAATTTTAATCGTTTTAACTAATAATATATTTGTTATTATAAGCTATATGTAAAATATTATTATCATTTATATGAGTTTTACCATATCTGTTACACTTTTAGAACTTAGGTTAATTATTAAATTGTAGGTATTAAATGAAAATATTATTATTTATTTATTTATTTTTTTCGTCTGGCTTAATTTACTTTACAAGAGTTTTTGCCTCCATCACAACTTCACGCCACTTCTTCCGATCATAAATTATATTTTTCTACGCATTCACTCTTATCCTTTTTAAATCCCCCTCAACCACGTCCATCCACTTTTTCCTTGGGCTTCCTCGTAACCCTTTCCCTGTTGGTTTCGACTAACTTGTCTACCAGAAATCTTGTTCCGACGTATTAAATGTAGCTTATTTTCTAAAGTAAAAAATTATCTCCATGGTATAATTTAAAGAGGTTGATTTTTATTTTTCATTGGTTTTCCCAGGAGTTTTTTCAATAAATGGAAAAATTGTAAAAAAAACATGAAAAAACCGGTAAAAACGCAGGAAAAACGAGGAAATCGGTACAATATGAAACAAATATTATTATAGAAAATATATAATGCTATTTAATTATTTTATCATAATATGACCTAAATATTGTTGATAAGGCATCACTATCAACTCTGGACTGCGCTCAAAATCGTTTTTTCGTTAGCAATGGATAATTGTTTCTTGCAGGTATATATTAAATTACCCGTAACAGTAGCTGCGTTTGTCTCCGTTATCCTAGGTCGTTCTTTTTATAAATGTATTAGATATAATATGATTCCATAAATAAAATCATTATTTCAAAACAAAGGCCATCGCTGGATAGTTCGGGAAATTTCGGGTCGGCTGATCCGCCTAGCTTATATATGTCGGGTCCCTCATTATTGTTTCTCGCACCGGACCTTTTTATGTACCAAAAATATAAAAAATATAGAGGTATGTCATACAACACACCTTTAGAGTGATAAAAAAAATGTGATTTTTTTTATATCAATATATATATATATATATATATATATTTTTATTTCCTTTTATATAATATGAACGTGTAATAATATATTGTTGTCCCATTATTATTATTATTATTATTTTCATAATATAACTGCCGTTTAAGTCGAAACAAGTAGAAAATAATGGTTTTCTCGAATGAACAAGACCTCTTACAAAAAAAAAAAATAATAATATTAATTTTCACTGGTATTTTAGTGGGCCTCTCCCAAGTTTTCATAACGGAATGGAATAAATGGAATATAACTACAGAATTTTCTAGTAAAAGAACAATTAAAGTAAAACAATTTCACGATGAGGATCAACGTCTTTCAAATGGAAAACTCTATTTTGATACTTAAGTTTTATATCCGTGCATAGATATTGTTGCAAGTACGATTTGTGGGCCTGAATAAAATAATAGGTTTATTCAGTTGTACATTAAACCTTAGATCAGTTTCTAAAGATGAAATTAGTATTGGAGCGAAGAAATTAGCTGCCGAATTTGGTGATTTTAATTCGACAGAATTAATTAATTAAATCAAATCTTCTAAAACATCATTTGCTTTTAAGCTCGAATTATTTTTCAGTATTTTTTAAATGACTAAATTGTTAGTCATTGAAAATAATAATCTTGTGACAAGCTTCCCAGGATTACTAATTTATTTCTTAATTTACCAATAACTGTGACCGATGTTGAATGATCGTTTTCAAAGCTGAAGTTAATAAAAGCTACCTCAAAAAAACTATGTCTCAAACACGTCTAAGTTTGGCCATGATATCTATTGAAAACGAACGTGTGAAAATTGAATATGTCGGTATTGATCAATATTTTTGCACAAAACCAAAGCCAAAAAAAATAAATATTCACAACTTAATTTTAATATATACCAACTTATAAATATATTCAAAGTATATGGCAGTACCCATATTAAATATGTATTAAAGAATGAAGATGTAACACGAGAATGACAAATTCTGAGTTTTTTTAGTAAATTCTGTCCTAGTAATAGGGCCTTCTCTAGTTCCACCACTGGTGATGCTTTGTCAAAAATATAGGTATATGTCATATTATAGTACAATGCATTATATCGAATACAACTAGTTACCTAATAAAGACATATGTTTTTGTATATGCAGTAAAAAATATTTTACCCTTCTACAACTTCATATCTGTGATTGAATTATAATAAAATAAACAAATAAATTATAGTTAATAAATAAAATAATAATTTAGGTGATTATGGTCTCTTGTTCGATTTACGGCGGCGTCGCCATCTTTGTACGCTTCATAAGAATAACCCGTCCACCCGGTCGGTCAGATTTTTTACGTTTTTTTTTTTTTTTTCGTTAAAATCCTTCTCTCACAGTTATTCTCCGTTTCGGACCGCTTTTCCAAACGTCCGAAAAATGCCTCGGTTTCCCGATTGTATATTTACATGTATTAAACGTTTAATATACCGCTCATAGTTTTTATTATTTGTCATTTAGGTACAATATTATTAATAAATATTTTTACCACTTTTTTAGATTCTTTTATATTATATTACTTTTAGGATTTATACGATTAACCTATTATTTGTTTTACTGTTGTTTTAAAGTTAAAGTTAACCTTTAATATAGATACCTACTGTCTTTTCTCTAATTATCCAATTTACTTATGTGTTTAATGAACTAATTTATAGGTAAAGATTGGTGACAATATTGGAATGTGTAACAATAAATATTTACTGTTTAACTGTTAATTTGTTTACATAATCATTATTACTTTTTATATATTATTTAAGTACTTTTATATGCTTTTATTTTAACTCAACCTACCCAATCTAGTAATATAATTTAATTATAATTATTTTATTTTATTTTTATTTATTTATATGATATTATAATAGTGTTAATACAAAAAATAAATTACTTTTTATTTATTCACTTTAGAAAATTTTTAAAATAGCCATTTTGTAAAAAAAAATATTATGCAAACAATTTTAATGTACACATATTCATATCCGATAAATAATGTTTTAGTTATTGCCGTTTTAATTAATCGTTAAAACAATTATTATTCAATAATAAAAGGTGGAATAGGAATACTTGATTATCAGAGTAAGCTTTCTGGTAGAAAAAGTGTTTATATGAAAAAAAAATAATAATAATAATAATACATATCATTGTAAAACCAATAAATTGTTCGCTTCGCTCAGAATCTAAAAATAGTAACCAATAATCGAACAAGTATAAAATTTAATCAGTTATCAGTTGTATTATTATGTGATATTAACTCATAGAAAAAATATTCTTTGTCATTTAATGTTCTCTGACTACTGATTAAATATTGTAATAGATTATAAACCGTATATATCATATCCGTATTTTTCAAAACCTCAACAAATTTAAAAAAAAAAAAAAAGACCATACTTAAACAAAAGTTTCAACCACCAATAAAGTTCTAAAAATCTATTTTACAAAATGGATATTTTGAATTTGTTTTTAAAAATTATAGTAAAATGTATTTATTTTTAATTTTAAGTCCCCTATCTAATTTAATTTTTTAATATATTATCAACTGTAGCACAGAGACATGCTAACTATTAGAAAAAAAAAGAATATAAAACATATCGGATAGAACAACAGTTATTTCAAGTTCCATATCATCGTGTTATATTTTGTATTTTGGATGTTTAACATTAATAAAGTAAAGTAAAGTTAATACTAATAAAAAAGTGGTTTCAAGGTGAAAAACAAAGACTCAATAAAATAATTTTATCGAAAATAGTACTTTTGGATATATTGCTTAGGAGAGCAATATACTTATAAATCGCATAAAATGCACAATATTTTGACGTTATATTTTACAGCAGGCAAATAAATGTCGACAATTTTGATAGGTCATAATTGCATGATATATTTATTTATTTTCACACACACCACTTAAGTATTTCACATAAAATTTATTTTGTTTACTTTTTTATTATTGCGGAATTCCACTACTTACATTAGGTTCACTGTAAATCGATATTCACTAACCTAAGCCATCGAGTAAATTAACGGAATTATCGAAAATGTTTAATAACATACCTATATTTATACGCGTTGAAAAATAATTCCAGTTTTTCTATAAGCTATAGTCTGTCCCAGGAGAGAACGGTCCGCTCTCCGACCAAATCGAAGCGCTACTGCGCATCCCCATGCCGCAACACAATCCATTTATTCCCTCCCGGATCTATCGACAGGTTTTGTACACTGCGTTTCAAATAATGCACTGTTGTCTGTCGATAGTCCACTGTTTATCGCCAATATGACAAAAATGATGAATTCTAATTTTAACGAATAAAAAATGAAATGTTTTAATATAATTATTTATTATTTATTAAATATATATCTCTGTATTATACCTACTGTATCATACCTACTGAATTATACCTACAGTGTTCAATAAAATATTAAATAAATAAATATGTATACAAAAAAAACAAAGTCTGGATTATTATAGAAGGTGCTTGTATATACGATAGTTTACGATTTGAAAAATTATCAAGAGGTTATAAAACAGCAAAGGTAAATAAACGTGCGATGCGCGATGTCTGATAATAATAACAATTGAATTTCTACAAAATATCCTAGCGGTGTATAGTCATAAACCGACGACGGAAGAAATGACAATCGGCTATGTGGAGAGGGAAAACATGCGCAGAAGCGGACCTTTCTCTCCTGGGACAGACTATAGTTGTAGTAATGAAACTGTAAATAGGTTTGACTTAGTTTGATGATAAATTACAATACATAATAACTTTAGCGTTCAATATAGTAAATAAATATATATTCATTTTTGATTCATGCATTTATTTTCTATATTTATGTACCATTATAACCATTTTAATAATTTTGTTTTTACGTTGATATTTTAATATTTAACGTTAAACGGATTTTTGAAATTTGTGAATAATGAACAAAACGATTAATTGTATTCGAAGTTTTTTCAACTACAGAAATTATAGGCATGTACATTGTGTACATGCCTATAATTCAAAGTTATTGTAACTTTGAAATGCGCCGCTGTACTGTACGATTCGGAAACGTTGTCACTTTGAAAGACAGAACAAATTAATTTGGAAGTATCTGAGAGAAAATCCTTAAAACGATTTTCTGGCCATGCGGAGATGTTCAACTAACGAATGGAGAAAAAGGCACAGCCGTGAAATCACGGTGATCTGCTTAAAAGCCTGAGTATAAATATAGTGAATTCAATGAGAAGGATACATTTTAAGAGACATACGTGTTAAACACACAGATAAATAATAAGGATACTGATTAAGGAGAATGCCCATTAAGGAGACCCGTCTTAGACGTAAAAATGGAGTAGTATGTGATGAATAAATGGTTGAATCTGCGTGATACGATTGAGAAAGACAGCAGAGAATAAAAATATACGGCAGGTCGTAAATGAAATTTCAATAACTGTTATGAAAGTAATTAATAGTAATAATAAAAGTGCTCAATTGATGAAAATTGTTATTTTAGTATAATTTAGAATTATTATAATTTTTATATTTTTTAAATCGTTCAAAATGTGTTTTTACGAATACAAATGTGCCTACAGCGACACCTTATAAGTTATAACTGTGTTTCAACAACAAAATTTAAAATAATAAAACTATTTTAAAACGTACATTTTCACGTTCCTTCAGCATTTTTTTCGGTATTACTTAATTTATTATTAAAAAAACTATACATGAAAAATTAAAAAAATGACTTTATTCGTGAACAACTATATATTAAATTCGACAAAAAAAAGTAATTTGTAATTTTATGATTGACGCAAGATTTCTAGAAGAAAACCAGTTAAAAAAAATATTTAGGTATACTCGGCACGATAGGTGGACCACTGTTATAGGTGAAAGGTTGGAAAGATAGGATATAGAGGAGAATTTAATTTACATTTGTACGCAACGATTAATTATTGCTAACGAAAAACTATACTGAGCTGAGTTTAGTTACACATATTCAAAAGGCCATAATATTTATTATTTGAAAAATAACGCATTTAATAAATAACCGTTTTTTTCGGTTTTTTCCATTTATTATGAAAACAGCTGGGAAAATCAAAAAAATTGTATTATGCATACACAATTGATAAAATATTTAGGTATATTAATATTTAATATTATAATATGGCAGTGGTGCATGTTAAAAAAAAACTCAACGCCACCGTTAGTTAGTGGTCATTTTTACATAAAAATTGAGTTGTTACATGCAAACAGTCAAATGATACAGGCGTACGATATTTAGATGGAGAGTAGTTGGAAAAACGAACCAGAAAGTTCAAATTTTGAAGGAAATATTTTATACAAATTTAATGGATTACTTGGAAAAGGAAACAATCCCGAATTTTGTGATTTTAAGATATCTACGAAAAAATAATGCTATTAAATTTTGTATTGCAAATAGGACATATTTTGACCTAAAGAAGAACTAGTGATTGACAACTGCAAAATAGAAAAAAATGTATTGGTACAATCTAATTTGCAATGCACATTATACATATTAATTTTAAATTATTTTCGATTCTGTAGCGAAGACTGTATTTTGTTTTTATTTTTTATACTGTGTACAAAAATTATACCAGAAATCTTACTCGGAAATTTACGCGCGACACCATTTCTAAAAGAGAATATTGTCCAGATTTTAATTTTTTGGAGATCATTTTTTTATTTTCCATGTGGTTTTCATAATATCTAGAAAAAACAAGGATAAAACGTAAAAAAACGGGAAATTTACGAAAATAAAGCTTTTATTATTTTTTTTAATTTTGTTATTTGTTGTAATGCAGTTAAAAATATTGTTACAGACTTGAATTTTAAAAAGACAATTTATATTTGCTTTTTCTAGACATGGTAAGCTTTTCAAAAAATTTAAGACATTTCTGAGCTATTTATAGGCATTTTAATTTTAAGAGTTTTGTACGTAATTTTATTCGATTGGTACTCTGTGGTTGAATCGTTAGACTTATCAAAAATACTGGAAAATTCAACAGGGAATTCATTAAAAATCTTACTTTGTAGTCAAAAAAAAAAAAAAAAAATTGAATTAAGAGTAGTATTCTTTTTTAAAAAGGAATTTAAATATCAAATTTTAACGAAAATTGTTTGAGTAAAAAAATATTTGGAATAAAATACATTTTTAAATTTTTTTTTTTTTTGAACATATACATATTGCTGATTTAAGAATGATGGTGAAATCAGAATTTAGCGGACTGACTAATTTTCGGAATTATAGTTTTTTGAAGTTCTGATATTATGCAGATATTATATGTTATATTAAATAACTCTATATTGTAATCTCTAAAGTATATTTGTCGTAACCAAATGGTTATATACATACCTCTTGTCATCCTAGAGATCACGAGTTCGAAAAATATAGTTTGCACTTATTTTTTCCCTAAACAGGGAAAAATAAATCAATTTTAGGTGTACCTAGAGATCCAGTTATCGCTCGCTCGGACTATTTTTATAGCCAAATACCAAATAAAAAAAATTTTATTTCCGTGGTAATTTAGGGAGGTTATTTTTGATTTTTCAAGTGGTTTTCATAATATCTGGAATAATTGTGAAATTCGATGAAAAAACGGGAAAATGTACGAAATATTTTAGTAAAATATTACGATTTTTTATTCCGTAGACAACTTTTATACCAGCAATTTTGCTCCGTTTTACTATGATGGTATTTATTCTGAACGAAAATCTGACCAGGAAGGTTTTTTAGTGGTTCATTTTTCAATTTTCTTAGGAGTTTTCCAAGCAAATGTGAATAACCGGGAAAAACACGGGAAAACCGGAAAAAACGCAAGAAAAACGGAAAAATCGATACAATTCGCGAACGACACACACCTAATTTTCTAGGTACTCACTGTTTGGTGTGAAAACGAAACGTAGTCAATTGTTCATATAGTAACATTATGTTTATATTTTAGATTCTGAGGGCAGTGAGGAATGTATTGGTTTTACAATGATGTTTATTTTTTTTTTCTCTGAACAACTTTTTTATCAGCAATTTTGCTCCGATTTTCAATGAAAGCACTTTTAATGAAAGGAAATCCGACTGGGGAAATACTTCTGTGAAAATTTTCTCCAAATACTTAGATCAGTAATTTATAGCTATGGTAAGATTTTCAAAATAGTCAGTAAATTTTTTGAGCTATTCATAACTATTTGAAATCTTCAAGTTCATTTGGAAGTATAATCATTTCGAAAACCTTAGTCACAAATATTTTTTTCTTTTAGCGTTAAATTAAATTAATTTAGTTTCTATCTTCCCTCACTTTCTACGTAAATCAGTGCCTATCATGAGCACTAAGTTATATGATATTACTTTTTTTATTTTTACCCATTGTAAGACAATAATAGTTATTACGAAATTAGGTAGCATACAAATGAATATGTTAAAATTAGTAAAATTTGAACTTTTTCAAATCCGCAGACCTACTATTAACTGTACAGTATGACTCACGAATTATCACAAAGCAAAGCTTTTTTGTATGCTATACGGCCGATTTCGTAAAATAATATAATATACGCAGTTAAAAAACCTTCTTCATTATAAAATTTTAATATAATAATGCGACTTGGAAGGAAACGTGATTAAACTATGAAATCGTGTTTTTCGCTGAACTCTTCAGCATGTCCATCATCATAAAGACGTTTTATTTAATTTAATTGGACTGTACTACTGCGGAGTTCATCACGGTGATTACTTAACTCTGAAAAACTCCTTTTTTTTTCCATTTATTATATTATATTTTAACAACTTGTTTTTATTTATTATTTTTTTTCAGTTGTACGACGCATATAAGCATTTATGTTTACGTATACGACGTTTACGAATTTTACTAGGTTATTCGCAGGTTATATAATTTATATTATGTATCACCTGCTTATTAATTATTCATAATAATATTGTCACCGAAGACATCGCAGAACACGAGTGCACCGAAAAAACCATTAAATATTCACGATATTCACTTTAATCATCAAATCATGCAGCCGACCATAATATAATCTAATTACACCATCTGTGAGCAGCAGTGTTCTGTCACTAGAGTAGATATTTTCCTCGCCCTAATTTTTATGTCATAGGAAATATTGTTTTTAAAAATGAATATATAAATCAATACTGCGATAAAATTATAACACACTAGTTCTAATAAAATTACAGAATTTCCACATACAAATGGTGCAAGAGCAGGAGTTGAAATTTGAAACATCCAAAAGACGCATGTGCTAAGTCAATGTATACACAGAATGTTATCACAAGTGGTGGATTTAATGAAAAAGACTTGTCAGAATTTTAGTTTTTGGGGCCCACATATTTGAAAACAACTAAGTTTTAAAAAAATTTATAAACACCCAAAAATATTTTTATTTTAAAATAATACGATGAGTGTTAGTTAATAATTTTATAAATTACTTGCTGTCCTGCGACCGGGGTTTCCCGTGCCAATTTTTTATTTTTTTTTTTACTTTTATTCCCATATTGCTTTGCCCGTATCAGTATACCAAACAATAGAAAATAGGTTGGGTAGTCCGGTTGACTAAAAGTGTTCTTGTGTGTCATAATTCTTTTTATCCATATTACTATAGATACTCGAACAAAACATTATGACATGTTAAATTAAATTATATCCACTATAATAACGTTAAATTATGAGCACATAATAGTATACTCTAGTGTTATTAATGTACCAAAATATACAAAGATTCAAAGATGACGTTTTACGTGTTTTCACTGTTCACTTACCCGCCCTTTTGTGTTTTTTTCTTCATTTATGTTACCAAGGTAGCCCATTTTATAGTATAATAATAATAATATTCATTTTTTTTTGGCCCATAACAACAAAATTATAATCCATATCACCAAGGTAACCCACGAATAAACAAAAAACAAATAAACAATTTTCAAAAATACCTAAAAACCTAATTATTGCAATTTTTGTAGGGGTCCCTTTTTTTTTTCTAGTAATAAATATAGCAAAAGTTACTCAGAAATAATGTAGCATTTTAATTACAAATGGTGAAAGAATTTTTGAAATTGGTTCAATAGTTTTTGAGTTTATTCATTATAAACATCCAAATCTTTTCTGTTTATAATATTATAAGTATAGAATACTTATTATAACAAACTTTAATTTAATTTAATAACATAATAAAAACTTAATTTTAGACTCTGAGTGGAGCGAAGAAGTTTATGGTTTTACAAAGATGTTTATATATTTTTGTCTGTGGACAACTTTTCTACCAGCAATTTTTCTCCTTCTTTTAATGATGGCAATTTTTTTAAATGGAAATTTCATTAGGGAGGTACTATAAAGATGTCGTTTATCAATTTTCTTCGTAGTTTTTTCAATAAATGTAAAAAATCGAAAAAAAAACTAAGGAAAAACGGAAAAAAGTAAAAAAATGTAAGTATACGTTTATAATATTACGGTCTTTTTTTCTCCTGTGGTGGACAACTTTTTTTATCAGCATTTAAAATATCTTTAAAAACTCACTATGTCGAGAACCACACATTTAATTAGTACCTACAACCAATCTCTTGAAGATCTCTCTATAATAGCTAGCTCCGACTTTTAGCAGCTATAATCACTCGTATTTGATTTTTTTATTAATTTACTTTATAATTCAACCTTTTGTTTTCATAATTTAAAGATTAGCATTTTTTTATCTGAGTTCACACAGGTGTAAAGTGCTAATTAATTAGATTAGTTTATTTTAATTCAACTGTGACTGCCGTCCAACGATTCCAGAATCACGTGAGGATATCTACAGGTATACACTCTAGCGTTCCAACACCGTGGGCAAGTAAAATAATTATACTTCTTTTTATTCATTGATCTCGTCACCATTCTCGGACTCACAATCCCGTAACCCTCCGAACAGCAGGAGAAAGGTAGTGATTCACATATCAGATTTAATATAGGTATCAAAATAATTAACCCCGTTCATTTTAAACATTATACCTTTCATTATCTTAACATTATTACCCTCTCCCCCTTATTCTCATCCTTTTTGTATTACTAAAATTTGGCATATATATATTGGTGACAAAGTATCACTATCAATTGAACTTCGCTCAAAATCGTTTTTTCGTAAACAATGATTTATAAGTAAACATTAAATTACCTATAACAGTGGCTGAACTCATTCTCATTATCCTAGTATACCTTTTTCTATTTCAATTTATAAATTAAAACTTTGACTTTTGGACGTTTAATTTATTTTTTCTATTTTTTTGGTTCCTTTTATATTTATTAGTTAGTGTGAATTACCTACTATAATAAATTCAAATAATTTATTAAAACAAAAAAAAAAAAAAAATGAATAACTTTTCTCTTATAATTTATTGTCAAATATTTTTTTAATTTTAGACAATAAATTATATTGCAAGAAATATATTATATTTGTCTATACAATGCTCCGGTCTATCGTTAGGTAAACTTTTTCACTAGGTGCAGGTTAAATATGGTCAATAAATAATATATTAAGACGTAGTAAATCCTGCGGTAGAATTTGCAGCGAAAGGATATGTACCGAATCGATTCTTTTGTATAAAACCTTTGTATAATTTATGAGTCGTATATTATTCGCTGGTTTGACTTAAAACCAAATTAAGTACTTTATAAATATATTTTATTAAAGAAAAACAAAAAAATGAATAAGCAATCGTAGGATATGAAAAGTTTCTAAAATATTTAATACCATATTTTAGACTTTTAGAGTCATAAAAATGATTAGCTTAACGTTAAGGATCAGATTGTACTCAATAATATTGAACGGGTATAATTGTTATTGATTGTTTGCTTCTATGGATTGAATTTATAAAGAAACCTTCTCCAAAAAGTAAAATTTTATGCAACTTTAAAATGTTGTGGTTAAAATTTGTCTATGTTACAACAATGTATAATATATTATAATTTTGAAAAATGTTATTAAATTATAAAAAATTACATAGTGTTTAGATAAAATTTTAATGGTTTAGATTTAAAATAAATAAACTTTTAACACGTGAATACATGAATATTTATGAAAGTGTTAAAATAATCCTCTTAATATCCTGATTTCGTTATAAAATTCGATTATATTAATTGCAGCGTATATGATAATATATCGTTCCCATTTAATGTAATAATATTTTAGCTACTAAGAAGACTATTGTTAAATACGTACACTAACCACCAGAGTACACTATACTCTAGTATATCAATTATCTATAATTCTATGATACGCCACACACTGGTCAACGTTGGTAATAGAGTAGAAGTCCCAGAAGGCCTATATAAGGCGCCGTACGCATTATTTTCAATTATCGCTTTTCTCTTTCTTATACAATCATTTCCCGTAATCCATAAACCCCCTACCACTATCCAAATTTTCTTTCTCGAATATAGTAATTAAAAACCCGTAGCCGCCTCACTATGTAGTAAAATCGTCGACCGCCACAATATACCCTTCACGTTCATCTTTCTATTTCTAAACCAGAATGGTCTGGAAAAAAATCAGAAGGACTGTAAAAATCCGGAAATTTTCAGTTGTTACGGGCACCGACTTTCCCTATTAATCTACGTTATTAATGTAACACACTAGGAAACACAGATGTAGATATCGCTAGTAAAGTGGTCCTGGGAAAACGTACTTTAGACGAATTTATCATACGAGGGCCACTTGTACTCCACATCAGCTGTTCTCATCTCAGGTAGGAGACAAGTTTGTATAACAAACGCAGCTGGGGACTGAATCTCATCTTGGATATAATTATTGAATGTCTCACGCATAAATTTACGGAAATCGGATTACCGTGGCTAAGATGCGCAACGTTACATAGGTCAGATTTATATAAATATACATTATATGCATCGGCGTAATTACAGATAAAGACTTGTAACACGTGCATAACGCGGGTGCGAGCCTTTCGTGGGAACGTTACCGGCCAGCTGCACAAAATATTACTGTCGAAAAGCGCATCTAGACGGAGGACCCAGAGTATATATTTACCGGCCGCTGAGAGCGGCTTATCAGACGAGTCTTAACACCATCACTGCGAGCATCTTCACGCCAGTGTGTCTTTTGAAATATTAAATTAAAAAGTGTTTGAATATTTTTACAATAAATTATACACTTATATAAAATCGTCGTGTTCAACATCTCTGACATCGGTCATAAGTATATCCGAACTTGAGTTTAAAAATACGACCCCAACATAATAATCATACGGACTGTAATATTTTGGAAAAAAAATATCATTAGTAGCATTTATACAGACTGTAAAAATCTGGTATATGAAATGTATATGTAAATATGTATATGGTATATGAAAATTTCCGGACTGTAATGGGCCGGAAAAATAAATGCGCTCACCAGAATATTCCGTAATGTAAAAATCCGGAGAACATAAATGCCTAAACTGGAAAGTACCGGACTATAATAATTCGGAACACAAAAATACACCCACTGTAATGTCCCGGACAAGAATTTTCTAAAATTTAACAAAAAAAACACTGATAGATGGCGATGTTTCACATACACAGTTTAAACAGAATAAACTAATTAAGATTAAAATAATGTTCATGATTTTATGGCTGTTTTCAGAGATGTTTTCAAACATGTTCAGACTGATAACCGTGACAACGTGATTATCAGTATTAATAGTGTTTTTTAAATTCCGTATTATTCTTGTGGGTGACATATTGGAAATTTCTTGTCCGGGATATTACCACGTGTGTATGTTTGTATTCCGAATTATTATAGTCCGAGAATTTCTAATTTAGGCATTTATGTTTTCCGGATTTTTACATTCCGGAATATTCTGGTCAGAGCATTTATTTTTCCGGTCGATGACAGTCCGAACATTTATATAGTCTGTTTCACGAGAGAACGGGCCGCTTGTGCGCATGTTTACCCCTCCACATAACTTGATTTCAGCGAAGGCAGCCGATTGTCATTTCTTCCGTCGTCGGTTTTTGACTATACACCGCTAGGATATTTTGTAGAAATCCAATTGTTATTATTATCAGACATCGCGCATCGCACGTTTTTTTACCTTTGCTGTTTTATAACCTGTTGATGATTTTTCAAATCGTAAATTATCTATATACAAGCACCTTCTATAATAATCCAGACTTTGTTTTTTTTGTATACATATTTATTTATTTAATATTTTATTGAACACTGTAGGTATAATACAGTAGGTATAGTACAGTAGGTATAATACAGAGTTATATATTTAATAAATAATAAATAATTATATTAAAACATTTCATTTTTTTTCCGTTAAAATTACAATTTATCATTTTTGAACGTGTGCGTACACCACGGCAATTGGCGATAAACAGTGGACTATCGACAGTCAACAGTGCATTATTTGAAACGCAGTGTACAACACCTGCACCACTTCTGCGGTCGCCGTTGCAGCGTTGTCGATAGATCCGGGAGAGGATAAATGGATAGTGTTGCGGCGTGGGGATGCGCTGCGGCGATTCGGTTTGGTCGGAGAGCGACCCGTTCTCTCATGAAATAGACTATAGTGTTTCATATTCCTTATTTTTGCAGTCGGCCGTTTTCTTGCCCGTAAATTTACATTTCGACATTTTACAGTCCGTAAAATTATTTTCCAGGATTTTCTAACCATCCGTTCTGTTCATAAAAATCCGATCACTTTTTTTGTCATATCTGTGTACGACTACAGAGTAGTGGGCCCACGCCCAATAAAATAATAATAACACCAATACCAATAGTATTCCACAGCTCTGTATTGTACATTTTATTATCATCGACTTCCGAACGAACCTGGTATTCATGTTTTATAGTTCAGGGACTGGAATCGTACCGAAAAGAACCGGTTTTGGAACCAAAATCTCGCCGAACCCTTAATTCAAATTAATTTTAAGACCGAAAGCTCGTCGAAACACTTATTTAAATTTATTTAAAAACCGCAAATTAACCGCAATATATAATTTTTTGTAAAGGTTTTTTACGATTAATTTCGGTTTTGTTATAATTCCATTAATTTTATTTATATCTGTCAATGGTAAATGGTAGAAAATAAGAACTAAACAAATACGTAAATCTATTATTATTATTTTTATTATAGCCATTTATTTTACGTATAGCAAACATAGTTTGCGTAACTTTCTGTGTGGCCACATCTTTAATATTGTATGAGTTTTTTGGCGAATATAGGCACGATTATTACACTACATAGCACATATTGTATCTTTGTACCAAATTAACACAATCTTGAGAATTAGAATTGCTTTATTAGTGAGTGAAAATGATAAAATATAATTTGAATATTTCACTATGAATTTTATAATGATGTCATTACTGAAGGAGGATGTTATTTTTAGCTAGAATCACCTCTACACACCTCTTCACTCCTGAATAAATCCACGGATATTTAATTATGTGTATTATTACAATGTGTATGATGTCGTTAATAGTATACAGGACGTGCCTTTTGGGAATTTTAGTTTTCAACCAACACCCCGTTAACATTTGTATGTTTTAATTGCACATTTATTGGAATTAGTATAATATAGTATTATTATAGTAGTTGGTTATTTATTGTTTTACAAAACATATTCCTAAGAATATTTAAAATCTATAGTTTGATTAGAGTTTAAATTTCTGATTCGTAAAATCATCAAATTTTGACTAGTTGGTATGCGAACAACGCAATAAGTTTCAAACAGGTTTTATGTCGATTAAATTGTTTGATATAAAAATAGATTAAATAGATTAATATACTCTAATGAATAGTTCGTTGATTAAAAAGTTTAGAAAAAAAGTCTGTCTCGTTAGTACTTTGCTCGTTATCGATGATTCTCCTGCTTGTTTCTAAAGGCATTATTCTTCCACACGAGTGCCGCACGAGCTTTTAGTCCATTGTATACATTTTTCAAATATGTCAATCCGGCTTTTGTTACTTAGCAGTTAGCACTTAGAGAGCTCTAACCAATATAAAAGTTACCTCTTACTATATATAGTATAGTTTAGATATAATTCAAGAAGATTTTTTTTTTTTTAATCTCGAACAAGTGATAATACAAGTAATAATTTCTCAACCACGATTTTAAGTGAACTTTATTATTTTTGGTTTTTGCAGTCGTTTCGTTAAAACATTATGCATTTTTTCCATACACATAAATAGTAAATCTATTTATAATTTACATAATTTAGTCATGTTATGAAGTGTTATAATGAAATTACTTTCACTTAACATTATACTGGTATTTAATGCAATTTCGAACATTTTTGTCATTATTTAGTTTCCAAGTAAAAATATAAAATAAATAGTGATCGGCAAAATAAAAAAAATCAATGCACATATAGTGTATAATAAAAGGTAAATTTATATCGGTTTTGAAAACTAAAATTGGAACGTAAATATATGAAAATCATATTTCTTTTTGCACTATTTGGGGTTCAAAATTGTAAAACTTGATACGTTAATTATTATTTTCGTAATCTATCTTTGTTCTATTAAACTATTATATACATTCATAATTCTCTATAAATCTATTAGAATGAAAGATAGAAAGAAAACAATAAATAAGAAACTGGGGCATGTTCAGTCTGTATATTTACATTTTGTTAGGCTTCAGTAGTAGGGTACTCGTACATAGACAGTTCAAGTTTTATATACCTTTATATTATTGTTTTTATGAAAACAGAAAATAACACCGCAGTCACTTGTCAAAACTATTTTGGAAATATAACGATACTTCCCTATAATATTTTGACGTAAAAATTACATTTGGTTGTCTTGTCGATTACCATATCCCGTGTGTACAGGGTATAGCTACTATTTTATGTGAACGAATTCTTAAGTATACCTGCAGTATTGTATATTGTTATTGTAACTTCCTGAAAATATATCTATATAGCTAGGATTCAAAACTATACGAAAAGTCAAATTTGCTATGTATTGTGTATATAAAAATACCCGTATGCAAAAATCCATTGAGCTCAGGAACTAGAGTTGAATTTCTCTAACACATATGCGTATTTTGTAATAAAGAAACATTTTTTTTTTTTTTTTTTTTTTTTTCTTAAATAATTAATATTTAAAAATATTATAATAATATTTTCAATACTAATTTGAGTATACAAATAGAAAGTACGATTGTTAAACTCTTCAAAAGATGTATTGTTGATAATAATGCTATAATTGACTAATATTAATTCCCCGGTTTTTTTTTTTAGCACGAGTCTGCAGGAAGTTCAAAGATGAAAAACCCTTCTCCTCCCACTATATCTTGGTTAGATTCAATCAAACTTTTATCATTTTAGTCCTATACGAAATTGATATGAACTGCAGCCGATTAAATTATATACAGAGTTATCCAGCATATTATTATATTTTAATAATATTCGGAATAAATTATTAGTCCAAATATACTATTATTGGTAAACATAATACTATATATGTATTAAAATAATTAATTAATTATATTTAATTATTTTTAAACATGTTTCACATACGTTGGTAGCAGAAACCTATCGAAACCTTCAAACCTAAAAAGAAATAAACGCCTAACAATGTTAGGAATATGTTAGGCTAACATATTCCATAACTAACCTTGCAGTAGAAATACGTTAAATCGAAAAATAGTAGGTACCTGTGTAAAGTTATGGCTTGTTATTACTTGCAAAAGTTATGGCTTGTTATTACTTGCAAAAGTTATGACTTTATTATCAGTTAGCACATCGATCTAACCTCATAGTTAAATTTAATTTTGGTTCGCTATAAAGTTGTTAAGCCCCGCTGTGATGAAAAACTTAAATGTTTATAATGGTTGTATTAAAATACTATTAGAAATATAATAGCAGTCAGCAATAGGTATTTTTAACGTGCTGGGAATAATTAAGTTTTGTATTATATTGTTTTAGTCCCAGGAAAAAATGATTTAAGTTAATATTTGGCATTTTAGATTTGGAGCGCAGCGTGGATTGTATTGGTTTTACAACTGTGTTCATTTTTTTTATTTTTTTTTCTCTATAAGTAACTTTTTTTTATCAGAAATCTTGCTCCGGTGTATCAACTGTAGCACATTTTCTTTGAATCAATTTTATCTACTTGGTAATTTGAGCTGGCCATTTTTTGATTTTCCAAGTGGTTTTCATAATAATTTGGAAAAAACATAGGGAAAACTGGACAATTTACAAAAATTGTTTTCAATTTAGTTTTTACGTTGTAATTCGATTAAAATTATTTGTGGAAACTTTAAATTTGGACATAAAACTTATATATTTTGCTTTTTTTTTAAACTTGGTCAAATTTTTAAAATATTTGAGTTATTTTTGATCTGTTGACAGACATTTTAATTTTGCGAGTTTTTTTACGTAATTCGTATTCAGTAGACATGAACTCTGTGGATAAAATTGCTAGACGAAACAGAAATACTTGAATACTTGACAATTTCACAGGAGGATCATTATATGTCTTATTTATCGGTTAAAATAAAAACAAATTGAGTGCAATGTAGAATTCATTTTTTATAAGAATTTAATTATCAAATTTTGTCGAAAGTCATACTGTCAATTATTATTAAAATTATATATTATCAATATGCAATGTATTTCTATGAGTCTGCTTTTTGCAGCAAATCTGCATTTTAGTACGTTCCAATTTTTTTCCGATAGTTACTATATTACGTTCTATTTATTTTAAACCGCTTTTATTCATTCCCAACATTTTTAATAAAATCAACATCAAATAACTTGAGTTTTTTTTTCGTTGATTTCTACGGCCTAACTTGGACAAACAAAATGAAAATACGTGACTAAATAAATCCAACTTTATCTACTTGCAATAAGGTTAATCGATATTTTTTTCTCGTTTTAACGTATTTCATTAAACGCACCACGTGTATATTTTTTCTTTTAATTTTTTTTGTGTTGTTATTATTGTGTCACAATGGCACGGGTGCCGCATTATCCGAAATTAATTAATTTACATCTATGCGTATATAATATAGAAATATGATCGTGTTTCAGAACACATTCTAATTATTTACGTATACGCGTAGTAATATATAATATTGTGTTGAGTATGAACAAAAGCGACGGTATACGTACATAAATTCAACTATTGTATAGGTATACAGTTTCTGCGGAACATTGTTCATACCATTGTCCATTATAATAATGTTTATAAAACCGTATAGTTTAGCTACGTATATAACCAACTATTTTCATACAGAAATCTATTCTCGTACGAGCTATTTTATACAATATTATAAAAAGGATAAGCGAAAACTTCGTATACTGAGTGGTTTTTTTTTTTTTTTAACTAGAGATTTTAAATGAATTTTATTTCTGTTGTCTGTTTTCGTCAATCATTATGGAGCGCACAACGTATTGTGGGTGGAGGTACAAAAGGGCGTAAGGGTTAAAATAATAGGTGAAATAGAGCGGAGCAGGAGCCCAGATTAAATATTATATTCTATCGAGTGTTCTCATATCGTGGTGCTCGAAACGATATAGATAAAATAGAATGTTTTAATATTAATGATTTATTCATGGACAACATGTGATATTATAGGATATAGGGTTACAAGTAGACAGGAAATAAGACGGTCCAAAAATGCTAAAAAGTGTTTGCATTTATTTTGTTTGATTCGATTTTTCCCCATGAAATGTAATACATGGTAACAACATCGACATTTGAACCCAAAATATATGGTTAAACTTATATTAAATTTGGGTGTTTATTCATACTGACTAAAAATACAGTTGTATGGACCAAATTTTTACTGTGTTTTGAACAGAAGGTTACTTAATTATAAGTTAACAAAATGACTGCACCAAAATTGCTATACGTATATCTAATGCTATAGCTGGCCATAACTATATGTCCAATGAGAATGCATTTTATTTTTCATAGAATCTAAGTTGAAAATTTGTCTTTTTTTTATGTTCGTGGCAGCACTTTTCAGAGTTTTACATATCCTCCGAAACTTTCACACCTTACCTATAATACGTTAAAATATACAGACTTTCCGTTTGGCGATCCAACGTACTGTTATGATTGTTATAGATACAGCGAAAATATCGTCTTTTAACTTATAATTAAAACAAATTCTCGACTCTCTGAGATCATAAAAACTCCAAATTAAGATGTCGTCTACGTTGTTCAAGGAAAGATTTAAAAGTACATGCCTGTGACGTGGATTTCAGGACGATAAAACGGAAAAGTTTATCGTGTATTCAACTAAAAATTAATTGTATTAAATAGATTCCGACGGTAAGGATGTGATGCTATATGACAATAATCCAAGGAGATATCTTACGAAGAGGATAAAAAAATCAAATATCTAAAGACTAAAATTAAAGAACTTCCCTGTTATTGTAAATGTATTATACATAAATAGGAAAGTACTGCCTATTAAAAAGTTAAAATTTATAAAAAGTGTAAACCAAAAGGTAAGGATGGTATAATATTATTTTTGATGTCTACTAACTAGAGAAAAATAAAAGTGAATGGAACGGAAATTAAAAAAAATATATGCAAAAATAGGTAACAATTTTATACCTGATAATTATTAAATATTTATTGTTCTTTTAGATTTTGAGTGAAGCGAAGAAGCTTATGATTTTACAGAGATTTTTTTTTTTATAAGCAACTTTTATACCTGAAATCTTACTTCAATTTTTAAGTGTAGAACATTTTCTGAAAGGAAATCGGGCTGGGGAGGTTCCTTAAGGATGTTATTTTTTGATTTTCTAAGGTGTTTTTTTGATATATTTGAAAAACCGGTAAAAAAATAGAAATATGTATAAATATATAGTTAATTATCACAACCTTTTTTTTTTCCTGTGAATAACTTTTTACCAGACATTTTGCTCTGATTTACAATGATAGCTCTTTTTCTGAAAGAAAATTTGATAACAAAGGTATTTTAAGGACCATGTTTTGATTTTCCCAGAAGTTTTACTAACAAACGAGGAAAACCGGTACAATATTAAACAAATATTTAAGGCATATGTATTATATTTTATCATAATATGATATATATAAATATATATTTATGTATATTATTGACAAAACATCACTATCAACAGAATTTCACTCAGAATCGTTTTTTCGTTAGCAATGGTTTATCATTACTTACAAATATACATTAAATTTCCGTCTGTATTCTATCTTCCTAACTTCCCACCTACAACAGTGGCTGTAACCACGTGCGAAGTGTGAACGTCTTTTTTAATGAATAACAAAAATGGAAATAAATAAAAAAAAAAAAATGTGTAATATTTCCGCCTTATTGTGCAATTACCTTTAAACACGTAATCCTTTGATAATAACGGTTTCAATTTATTGTTACACGGTTCGAAATGCTAGAGAACGCTGTTTTTTTTATTTAAATTTCTTATTCGGTATAGTAGTCATAATGTAGTCATATATTTTTACATTTGAATAATTGCTAATTTGTACGAACTCAAGTTACCTTTTTAAGAGCGTAATATAGGTAGTCAATATTTTTAACATCTCGGGCTATGTTAGAAGAGCTCAGTGCTACAATAAAACGAGTCCACATTTGAAAATATTTAGGAGAAAAAATGAACCATCTATCTATAAAACTCTGACATGGTTGAAATAGATAAACCCTTATCTAAAATTTTTTTCCTTATCTGATAGACGGATATGCATTATTGTTGCACTAAACTATATAATATTTAATATTTTACTCGAAACTCTTAAAAAACCTTTTTGACTTGCCTTTTTGTTGCTCTGAGCCCTATTATTATATACTTTGCCGGAAAAATACATTTTATTACTCGTTGTCACTATCTAAAGTATAATGTGTATGACATTACACCCGCATTACCTCAAAGTGGTATGCAATTATATCACCTACTTTACTTCTGAAACTAGATATTTTAATTCATTGTTTATTTATTTATAATTTCGACAACTGGTGACAATATTATACAAATTTATAAAACATTTTAGAAAGAATAACAATACATAACTAATGTAAAATTAGTATAGTAGATACATAAAGTAATGGAAAGTAAAAAAAAAAAAAGATGTGATACTGAGGTTATGGGAGAGGCCACTGTTGTAGGTGAGTAGTTGGGAAGGTAAGATACATAAGGTTCTTTATATCTGTAAGCAACGATAAACCATTGTTCGATGAATGATGATTCCGAACGCGGTTCGGTAATACATATTTTGAAGTGCGGTAATTTTTGTTTACGAATTCATTAAAATTTGATTTTAAATGCTTAATAAAAAAAAAAAAATTCTTCAGATGATTTTGAAAATTTTACCACGTTTAGGTAAGTCCAATATAAGTATTATTACCAAGTTTCAAGTATCTACGTGTTGTTATAACTAAATTACAGGAAAAAAACTCCCCAAATTTTAAATTCCTTAAAAGTTCAAAATTGGTTCAAAGGTTTGGTAATGATACAGTAAGAAAGTAAACAAAAAAAGGCAACAGAAAAGGTGTCTCATGATTTTTCGATTAAATCATTTGTTCTGATATAAAACGTCATCCATCTTCTTATAAAATAATGAAATCGAGAAATTGTAAGTTTTTCTACGTTTTTTTCCCAATTAAATGCTTTTGCTTAAAAAATGGCGTCAAAAGTCAAAAGATAATTTCTTAAAAGTACCATCTAGATAACTTAAGCTTGTATAAAAGTTGCTACACGTAAAAAACGTGTCCACAGACTAGAACAAAGAAAGAAAAAAAGTAGAAGAAAAAGAAATAAACAGCATTGTAAATCCAATAGCTCCCTAGCTACGCTCGGAATCTAAAATATAAATAAAGCAAATGTATATCGAATTATCACAGAAGTAAATTGCGTAATTCGGTTCTAAGATATACTCGTATACGTCAATTACTAAGATTTGAAGTCGTATGGACAACATGTATGGTGCTAAATTAATTAGACGCATTTTTCTTTAAATTGGGTCATTAGAATATTAGACATAAAACTTATTTTACAATGCACTATGGAGTAAAGACCTGAAGACTATAAGAGCTAAAATAAAGACTCAGAGGTTCAAAGTATGGTGCTGGAAAAGAACGTTGAAAATTCCATGGACAGAAAATGTAAAAAAAAGGATGTCCAACGATAATGGTGACGGGTGAAGCCACTACTATAATTAATTTAATGTATACCTGTAAGCAACGATAAAACATTGCTTACAAAAAAGCGAAGTTCAGTTGATAGTGATGCTTTGTCAACAATATATATGCCATAATATAGTAAAATAATTAAACGGACATTATATATTTTCTTTAATAATATTTGTTTAATATTGTATAGAGTTTCCCGGTTTTCCTATAATTTTTCACATTTACTGGAAAAACTCTTGAGAAAATCGAAAAATGACCTCTTTAAAGTATCTCCCCACGCAGATTTCCTTTTAGAAAAGGCGCTATCGTAAAATTCCGGGCAAGTCTTCTGGTAGAAAAGTTCCGCACAGGTAAAAAAAATAAAACAATATAAACATCTTCATAAACCATAATCTTCTCCGCTCCACTCACAATTTAAAATTTTGAAGTTTTTAGAAGAATAAATACTCAAAAATAAATATGGAATACACTTAATAAAGAATAATCTTTAGTTATTTATAATACTAAAGGGAAAAAAGGCAAACAAGGAAGGGCATAGAACACCTTTCATGAAGCAAGCGATGAAAGATACCGGAATAGGAATATTTAGGGAACTATAAAGAAATACAGGTGAATGAGAAAAATGGACCTTCTATTGGTTCTCTACTAATTATTGTCTGTGAAATTTTTTTTCCCATCCAATCTTTTGGGTGGCCCGTGAAAATATCTTCGATTTATAGTACTGTCCTAAATATTTGATACAATAAAGTTATTTAATTTATTACAGTTTCCTATTTAAGTGGCACATTATAATATTAATTGTGTATACAAATAAAAATATAAATATAAATTTAAAATTTAAGGTCATTTGTCAGTTTTCTCAAATATTGAAAAGCTGGCATTATACTGAATTCTCTACGACCACTAAAATTCTTTTGTCGTGATCCTTCTATTTTTTTAAATATTTTTTCAACTGGGCTCTTCCGAAACATATTTATCTAATTTTTCCTGTAAACATATTTTGTCGATCTTATAATTTCGTTTGCGGGGCTAATAGTTTTATAAAAAGTACCAATATGTAAAAATATTTTATAAACACCTCTTGTAAAGCTGGCTCTTATTTGAATAATGTAATGAACTTCTAAATAGTGACTTGATTTTCCTTACTATAATAATATAATACTGTTAATTTGAGAAATACAACTATTAAAGTAATATGTATTTATTTTTACTTATTGCGGAAAATATATTGGAATGAGATTTTTTTACTGGAAATATTTTTAAAGGAGATGTTTTGCCATAGAGTCATCATCACTTATCCATATTATTCTTTTTTCTTTTTTTGACTCGTCATATATTTCCAATAGCTCGTCACATGAAACTATATAAATAGAATACACTATATTTTCAAATGAAATTCTGTTTTTTCCATAAAGATTATTAAAATAAAATTTTCCAGTTGTTTGGAATTTTTTAGCTGTGATTTTTTAATCACGGCTATAAGCTATAGGCAATAAAATAATATAGTATTCATAACCATATTATTTATTATTTCTTGGGTATTTTCACCAAAAAAATTGTTATAGGATAATATAATAGTTTATAGGTATTTATACCTATAAAATATATTTTTTTTTAATTACCAACCACCAGATGAATTATAAAATTAAAATCATAACTGTTTCTTTTTTGGGAGGGGGACGAGGAAACCCCTCGCTATATTTTGTGGTGTAATACAATTTTTTAACCACCCCCTTCTAGTTTGAGCTCCAGATATGCCATTGCCAAAACTATACCAGTATCTGGCATTATACAAGTGATAATCATCAATAAGCTGGAATTCCAGCGTTCACGCACTAGTGATTGACCTACCTACCTACCTATTAATTTATTTACATTTTATGTTGCCGATTCTGCAGAAAAAAACCGTAATAAATCCAAATTAAAGACAATAAATAGGTACTAACTGAATTGCAAATACAATTATTTCACAAACGCTAAAATAAGTAAATAAGAACACGTGCAACAAGAAGGATTTTTAACGAGTTCGATAAGTGAATTTGTCAAACGACCAACGGAATAATATTGAAATAATTATAAGATAAACTCGAAAACCGTTTTAATGAATTTGTAATGAAATTAACAACGGTTCCAGTCTATTGTATTAGTTTATAAAGATATTATACGTTTGACACTAACGGAAAAGCTACAATTTTATTGAATATAACTATACACGTATTGCATGAAAAAAATACTTTGTATTAATAATTTTTTTAGTGTAAGAAAAATGTATTTAATATTTCAGATATTTTAGAGGGGGGACTTTTAAACCACTGTTTGCTTTTTTAAATATTTTTAAGTGCTTTTTCCAGGACTTTTTCTAAGTTTTCAAGCTCTTTTTTATGGAATTAAAATGTTAAAATTCTCGAGCTCTGCTAATTAGAAATAATATTATTAATATATATATTATATATGTTTTTAAACTCATAAAACGAACTAAAAATGAAATGAAAAATAACAGAAAGTATGAATAAAAATTTCAATTATTTTTTATCGCCTTTGGGAATTGAAAATTTAACCACAGAATGTTTATGGTAGAAACACACGAAAATATACGAACGAAAGTTATCTGAGGCATTTTTCGATTTTTTTTTTCTCAAAATCCATTTGGTGTGTAAAGGTACAGTATAAAGAGAAAATGGGAATCCAGTATTTTGATTTTGTTTGTATTTTGCTAGATACATGAGTGAAAGCAAAGTATCAACCACAAGAATGGATCAAATATTGATAACTAGTTAGGAAATAATTTAGAATTTTCCGAAATCTGGCTTGGAAAAAATAAAAATGAATTTGTGTTTTAGTTGAAAATCGTTTACATATTATGCGATAAATACTGCATTATACATAACAGTGAACAACACTGTCAGTTGCAAGTAATTGCAATTTATTGTTAAGTGTATATTTTTGTATTGTTGCAAATCAACCCTGCAGCAAACTCGATTCGGATGAAACAATGGATAATTGTAATTAATTGCAGTAGGTAGTGAATAAAAGTTTCGCGGTCATTAACAGAATGATGCCATAATTAATGGGGAAATAACTTTTTATTTTTATTTATCATATTTTTACAGTTTCGTTAAGTCAGTGAACGACGAAAACAATTGCCGCGGCCGGTAAAAACGATCAGGTGTCACCAGATCCTTCCCCCCCTCCACCTCTAATCACGTTTTTTAAATTTGTCAACACACATATTTGGTATATGATTTAACTTTTATTGTTTTATTATTAGTTTACATTTTGAAGTTAAATACCCAAATTCGTATTTCACATCAAATCTCCTTTCCTATAAAAAAAAATTATAATAATACACGAACAGAAGAGTGACTCCGTCACTAGAGTCAAATTTCCTCCCAGTTTACTTGTTGCCGTAGGATATTTCATGTTTTTTTTTTTTATACTTAACAAGATTTATTTAAATAAGTAAACTAGGTACCTAGTTCTTGAAATTATTAGTAACATACAAATAGATGGAGGGATCAGGAGTTGGAAGTTCCAACTTTACTTACTTTCACATGTCTGTAAGGATATTTTTTATAGATAGGTAACACGCAATTTCCTATAAAAAGATGAAATCTGAGCACACGAATGGTTGATACTTTGAGTATAAAAATTTATCTTTAAACTCTCTTTTTCTAAATGGATTTCTACAAACCTGAAAAAAATCTCCTCTTAAAATAACACGACAAAGTTCAAATAGAAATTCAATAAAAATTATATTATTTTTATCTGCTTACAAAAAAAATTAAAATGTTTGAGTTTGAGCACTTTTGGTCTAAAGGGAGCCGCTAAGAGTGTCCAAAAGTATCGGAAAAATATATGTAATCAAAATAACAAACGCATTACAAAGTCATAAGACAATAGTCTTTATTTCCGTGGAAAATTCGAAAAAAAAAACGATTGATCGGTGCTCTATAACCAAATTTCCGAATAACTCCGTTACGTACTGATGGCAAATGCATTTTGAAAATTCACCACAAAAATCACACCAAAAAAACTCCGCAGAAAATCGAAAAATGACCACTTTAAAATACCTCCCCAGTGAAATTTTCTTTTAGAAAAATTG